CTGTTACCATGGTATTCACAAAGGAATAAAAAGCAGGTTAGCTAAAAAATTCTTCTACATAATAGAAAAATCAATTGATTCTATAGAGCATTTATAGAAAAAAAGTAGCTACCCATGAATTCTATAGGGAGGATGAGTAAAGGATGTGTTTATATAAGGAAGAATTCATAAATTTTTCCCCAAGTCCTGCTACTCTTTAAGATTGAACCACTCAAAATAAACCACTCAAAGGGCAAATCATCTATTAAGAACTCAAAAATGTAGCAGTCGTGACTGTAAAGAACTGATTTTGAGCTCTGAAATTAGGTATACCTAAACAATTTTCCCTTAGCCATAAAGCGAAATGGCAAAATTTTTTTTGAAAGAGATGACACAGGTATAGCTTTTATAATCCAAGTTAAAAAGATGAAGTGTAAAAAAGAAGTAGAACATTTCTCAATTTTCACAAGGGAGTGTAAAATAAAGATATTTCACTATTTTGGGATGGGGGAATTCAGTTTGATCAACTCACACTATACACTAAATGATGAATCTCAACAAACATACAACATAGTTTTGGAAGAGAACTCTTAATGGCATAAATACAGACTTTGGCAAATAGAAGACCAGAATCCTTGAAGAAAATACTTCACAGAATAAAAACAAAATCTAATCCCTTAAGTTTACCATATAAATTTTATTTGAGTACATGTCAAGTCCCAAAGTGTGTGTGTGTGTGTGTGTGTGTTTTAGGAGAGTCAGTAAAGAATGAAATGGTTTTAAAATTCATTTGGAAGAATAAATGGTATATTAGACAAGAAAATTATGAAAAAAGAGCATATGTAGAAGAGTTTGGTTTACTACATATTAAAACTTATTGTGAAAATTTTTATTGGTCTATATTTATATTTTAGAAGTAAAATATTTTAAATAGCTTCAAATTCCATCCTTGAAAATGATATATAGTTGCATCACAGTATCTAACACAGTGACTTGTATAGAGTAGGTGTTTAATAAATATTGCTGTGTAAATTTTTGAATAAAAATATAGGTGGTCTTTATTTTATCCCAGAAGCTGAATTCATTCAGTGTCAGAATTTGAGTAAAGTATTAATATAAATAAATGCCCTACTTGGTCTGTACTTTTATTTAGCAGGTCATATCATTCTGTGCCAACTCCTAAAAACTGTCAAAATAGTCTACTATTCTTCACTTGTATTTCAACTTGTCTACCAAATAATGACTAGAATTTTAAAAATATTTATTGAACTATTTATTAATCAATATTTATTTGAACTATTCAATAAAATGTTTATTGAACTATTTATTAATCAATATTTATTTCATGATTATAACTATTGCTATCATATGATTCTTTTAAAAGAAAACTAATCCTTCAAACCTATTTGCTAAGGAAAAAAGGCAAAAATATAATCAATATAATTGTATTAATAATTGTGTGAAATTTTTCTTAATTACTAATTTTTAGTGCCTACAATATCCTCTATCCATTATTATTCAATGGTTTAATTGTGGTGATTTTAAAATATGAACATTGTTTGATAATTATCCCTTCAAAAGATGGAGCCAAATCTCTTCTCCTTGGTTTTGGGGTTGGATTTAGTGCCTTACTTCTAGAGAACAGAATATGACAGAAATGATGAGGTAGAATTAGGTCATAAAAAAACAGTGGGGAATAAGACAGCTGTCATATCATGAGGACACTCAAGAAGTTCTGTGGAGAGCTCTGTGTGAAAAGGAATTGAGGTCTGACCACAAACAAGCAAGAAAAGCAAAGCATTTCATGCTATGAACAGATTTAATAATCTAGAAACATATTTATTGCTGTGTCCTATAACTGAACCCATTCTATTGATTTTTTTCTAAAACAATTTTTCTTCTTAGCAAAAAAAAAAAAAAAAACCCCACACGAAAAAATCTATTTTTAGAACATTTAGAAAATTCAAAGTAAAAAAAACAAAATTCATGCCAACCTACACTCAGACATAACATAATTTTATCTTTTTGGCATATGCCCTTTTATTATATGCATATCTTTACTAGTATTTTATAAAAGTAATGTTTTTTAACATAACACGAGTCTACAGTCATACCACCCTGAACAAGCCCAATCCCATCTGATCTCAGAAGCCAAGCAGAGTCCAGCCTGGATAGTACTTGGATTGGAGACCACCTAGGAAAACCAGGTGCTGTAGGCATAAAAAATAAAAAGACAAGGTCCTTGAAATCTGTGTGGTCAACCAAGGGTTGCCTCACCTAAAAAAAAAATAATAATAATAAAATAATAATAATAATTTAACATGAACATTTTCAATTGCCATTTAATGTCCATTTCTGGTGTAACCTTTAAACATGTTGACTCTAGCTCTTCTGTCTTCATTCTCCACTATCTAGATCAAATCACTGCTATCTCTTGCCTCAGTAGCTTGCAATGGCCTACTTAGTACAGGAGGCTTCCTCCTTTGCTCCATACATAAGCCAGGTTGACCCTTCTAAAGCATCATTATGGCCATTTTACTCTTCTGTAAAGGAAAAAAAAAAAAACCAAACACCTAAATTCTTGTCCATCACCTACAAGGCCCTACAAAATTTGGCCCCTACCCTTCTTTCAGCTTTCAATGAGCCCTTGCTCACTGGCTACCTAGCTTGTCATTAGGACCTTATACTTACTTCTACCTTAAAAATTTTTCTCCCAGATATTCACACATTGTTCATTTCCTCACTTTATTTAGATCTGTTTAAGATCACTTCCTCAGAAAGGACTTCCTTGACCACCCAGTCTAAAAGCTCTGCCTCTATACATTTTTTATATATAATATGTGTTATTATCTGACATATTTGTTGTCTCCCAAATAGAATGTTGGTCCCAACAATGTAGGAACTTAATCTGTCTTATTTATCAATCTATCCTTAGACCAGAGCCTGACACAGGTAGGTGCTCAATAAATATATTTTGATTAAAGACCATATGGATGTACCATTTTAATAATGAGTAATAATTACTTGGTATTTAGAATCCTGACAATTTTTCCTATTATGAGCAATTATGTCATGAAAATGTGCATAATATGTACATCCTATATTTGTTTTCTAAGATTTAGGAGTCAAAAGATATTATTTTTATGATTTTTGGTATATATTTCCAAACTGCCTTCCATCAAAAAAGTTGTTATATTTTATACCGCCCTGGAAATGAATGAGAGTTACTCTCTTCTCACCTTGCATGACCTTTTAAACATTATCATTTTTGTAGGGGAATAATGGCTATTATTTAAGGTGCTTTTATTCAATTACTAGAGGGCAGGCATTTGTTCATATAACTATTATCCATTTGCATTTCATTTTTACAAGTTGCTTCTTCATGTCCTTTGTTCATATTTCTATTAATTTTCCCTTATTGGTAAGACCTTTTTTTTACAATAAAGTGGCCTATTGTCTAAATCATGTTAAAATATATATATTTTTCCCAGTTTGTGACTTGTCTTTCAATTTTGATAACTGTGTTTTTTCTTTTCTGTTTGCCAAATGGTCAAATTAATTAATCTTTCCTTACATGGTTTTTGAATTTGCTGTCACTTTTAGAAAGTTTTTCAATCCACTATTTGAAAACTATTCACCTATTACTTTCCTCCAATATTCAATATTTTAAAAAATAAAGAAAAAAATACAATATATTACAACTGTAATTTATTTGGGAGTAAGCAGTGAGTGAGGTGAGACTATTACCAACCATCCTCCTTTTCCTTTCTCCACTGATATGTAAAATTGTGAGATGCCATTGCTTTTATATTAAAAGTTTTATGTTACACACACATATCTTTTTCTCCTCCTTTTAATAAACAGTTTGGACCTGAGCCAATCCCATCCTTGAGCCAATATTCCTAAGGAACAGAGAAATATATTTTATTGCCAAGTAATTAATCTAATATTGGTTACCCAGTAATTTGGGATTAGTACTTAAGTAACAACGAATACACTTAAGGCAGAAACTCAGTACACTTGTCCAAGCGACATCATAACCCAATTTAAGAATGTCAATCCAGACACGATGAAGTTGGTTATCGCTTTAAATAAAAGTTCGTTCCTGGAAGATTGAGAATAGAGCGTCAGGATTCTCTTCTGAAAGCTCTCGGAATCCTGGGCTCCAGTGGGGGAAGAAGGGACACAGAAAGAACCCATGGTAGGCTCAGTCAGATCTAGGGATGCTGCCCAAAGAACCAAGGAAGCTAATGAAAACAGGTAATAGGGTCATTTTAATTTTTCAACTAGGGTCTCGATTTTTAACTGTATCGCTGGTTTAAATACCCTGAATGATTTAGATGCACCAGAGGGAAAAAAAAAAAAAAACCCTACAGAAAAAAAATACGTATAGTTGTTTTGTGGCCTTAAAAAAGAAAAATGGTTAATTCCTAAACCTAGAAAGTAGTATATATTCACGGAGGGAGCAGGGAAGGGAAAAGGGAGGTTTTCTCCTCGGACGTTCTTTTTCAAATTTTGCTTTAGCTGTCCATAGTACCTTTGCGTTCACTGGGCCGAACCAGAGAGCTCAATAGATTTTCCCCGAAACGCTAAGTGCAGGAAGCAAAGCTAAATGTAACGTTACAAAGACCCCGCACCTTTAACCACTAATAGTTCCCTTGTGGCAGGCGAGGCACTAAGCCCTGTGAAGATAGGCGATACCTAGACCCGGGGCCTTCGTGTGGAGCGGGGCATTTCCGGTTGAGATGTCAGTGAGTCAGCTCCAACGACGCGCTAGCTATATCTCCCAATGAAACATCTTTATTCGACCTCCTCCCATCCAGGTCGCAACTCCCATCTTAATTCCTTCACGGTATTTCTTTGGTACTTGTTTCATTTAACCCCACAGTCATTTTACCACCTCCTCCCTAGTGGCAACAGTTTTAAAGATAGGCCCTAGATTACTGGCTCGTCTCCCTAGCAACCGTGTCTCTCCCGACCGCCGGAAAAGGCTTCAGTCACATGCTCCGTGAACTTCCGGGTTTACAACGTGACATCCGGTTGTCAATTTCCCCAGACGCGACGGTGGAGGTGGAGGAGAAGCTGTGTGGCCCGAAGACGCCGTGGGCCCAGTGGTGGTGGGCTCCGCGTGGGCTCGCCTCGTCCTGCCCCCTCTGCGATGCATCCGCGGCGCCCGGAGGGATTCGATGGCTTGGGCTATCGCGGCGGTGCCCGGGATGAGCAGGGCTTTGGTGGCGCTTTCCCTGCAAGGTCCTTCAGCTCCGCGTCGGACCTGGGCCACTGGGTGACCACTCCCCCAGACATCCCGGGTAGCCGCAACCTACACTGGGGCGAGAAGAGCCCGCCCTACGGTGCGCCCGCCCCCTCCACCCCCGAAGGCCCCGTGGAGGAACCCTTTCCCGGCGGCGGCGGCGGCGGCAGCGGCAGCGTGTCCGGGCAGAGCAGCGGTGAGGGACGCCTGGAACGAGGCAGGGATGGGTGGAGTGGCAGAGCCGCGGCTCGCGGCCTGCAGACCCCGGAAGCAGCGCAGAGGGTCCCGCCTTCGGGGCCTCTGAGTCTGTCGCGCGGCACACCCTCTGCCCTCCTTTCGTCCTCTGTCCTTGAAGCGAGCCTTCTCCCTGGTCCTCGTACAAATGTTTTCTCTGGGATCATCTCCAGAAAAGACACCTGTCTTAGCTATGGGCTGCGTGGTAGGAATTTCTAAATTTTAAGTGTTTGGCGTATTACATCCGATGGCCTACATAAAGAAAGAAGGAAATTTGTGTTATTTACCGTTTATTGGAGAACATGTGAACAATACCTAAATAAATGACCCCTGTATTTCTTTGATATAATTAATTGTAGCTTTGTGATATGCAAGGAGAAATTTCTCAGCATAGGCAGGCATGGGTTCAAACCTGGCCCTGTCACTTAAAAGCTGAGAGACTTTCTTAATGTCTGTGAGCCCTCAGTTTTGTCCTCTTTAAGGAGAATAGAAGAATAACAGGGTTTTTCGAGTGTTAAATAAAATGAGACGTGAGTAATGCCTACTACAGTGTGGAGCACATAGTAGGCTAAAAGTATTTGTTTCTTTCCTTTTCCCTTTTAATTACAGGAGTTGTGTCTGTTTCCTAGATCCCAAACTACCCTCTGTCATCAAAACCTTTTTGGTAGAAGGGAAAATGTTTATACTTTCCCATTTTCTTGTAACACTTATGGTAATATCAAACAGAGCCTCGCTCAAATGATTTACTTGAAATATATAGGGAGAAGTTGTAATTTCCTTTTACTTTTGAGGGTCTTGAAAGTAACACTTTTCTACTTATATAAATTATAGATCCTAAATTCATGGGCGCTCCCTAAAGATTTATTGAATTGCGAATACACACACACACACACCACACACACACCTGCTGCTTTCCTCTTTCTGACTTAAAAACTCCACTAAACAGTAAAATTCACTGATATGACTTCAAGATAAGGCATTGGAATCAAGACAGCTATTCTCTGTCAGATGCCAGAAGACCTGTGTTTTAATTGTAACACTGTGCTCTAGATATTCTCAACATCTTCAAAAAATGGAAATAATGGCTGCCTCTTCCCATGCTCCTGAAATTATTAGGTTATATCATTAAACATTAAGCATATTCTAGACATAAGTTTTATTCCCATTCTATTTTGACTTGGAAGTACAATAATATTTATGTGACTTGGGTTAACTGGAAGGACTAGACCTAAAATGTATAGTGAGTAAATGAGAGTGCGAAGAAGGATTAGTGACTTACTCAGTGTCATTATAATTACCTTGTGTACTTCGTTTTTTTTTTTCTATTGATCCCAAAAGCGGTACTAGAAAGTTATAAATTAAATAATTCAAAACGCATATATGGTTGCTACGCAGTTATCTTCTTAGGCAGTAGAGCTTGTTTTTATCTTGTCATAGTTTATGCTTTAATGGTTACAGTAAGGAGGAGCTCTTGATAAAACCAGAGTTCTTTTAAGAGCAGTTAAGAGGGTGGTGAATCTAACTTTGCAAGGAAGATAAAAGCCGGAGAGACTTAGTAAACCTTTTTAACATTTTCCAGAAAATATCAGTGGTATTTTCTGTTGATATTAGGGGATGATCGGCACACACAAAAAGGGAAAAGTTGAAAGGAGGAGAGTACCTTAAGTTGGGCAAAAGAAGCTTCTATCTTGCTTATACATTTTTTTAAGGCAAGGTTGAATCAAATGGTTTCGCAAGAGTTGTGATTACACGGTCTTCTTCTGACTTTAAGGGAATAGTGAGGGCATTGCTTCATTTGAAAGAGCAGAGATGAGAGAGACGGGAGATGGGACAGAAAGGTGAGAGAAAAGATGAGAAAATCATTCTTTGTGAATATTGTATTATAGCTGAAATTTTATGACTAGTCCCTTGGTGTGAAATTTCATCATGACTTTGAGGTTTTTAGTCAAGAAGAAAATTTCTGTTTTAACATATGCATAGGAATGTTTCCAGCTGTAAACTTTTATAATAAGAGGACAGATATGCCGTCAAGAGTAGCACATGTGAACTCAGTCTATCACAGAGACCTAATTAAGTAACTACTCTCAAAATATTTAAAATTTGGGAAAATAGCCTTATTTATGCATTTTGATTAAGTACTCTTTCCATTTAATAATTTTGAAGTGTTTTACTTGTGACTATTGGGTTATGTAGACATTTTCCAGTAACAGGGAGTGACTAATTTTACAACACGGGAGGTAAAGTTGGTGTTTCAGTATCAGGCAGAGCCTTCTATGTTTGTAGTCAGAAGTTAAAAACTGATAGCCCTTAGATTCTACCTATAAACGTGTTTGATTTGGCCCACACAATGTTTTAACACTTTTTAAAGTAGCAAATATTTTTTAATGGGAAGATATTACATAAAAATGAGAATATATTTTTTAAAGAATCACAGCTTAGAAACTCTGAGCCCACAGTCCCACATTGCAACAGTGTATTGGAGTTGAAGAGCAGTTGTGTATTGCAACTTGCCACAAACCCCGAGTCCTTCACTCATTCAAAGGACTTCCCTGGCCTCTATCAGAATTTGACTTTGGGACCTGGAGATAAATGAATATCATGTTAATAAAAAATATTTTTGTTGTTTTTACAGTAAACCTAAATATTGATTATGAGTAATCTTATTCCTTCTATTTTAGAACAGTTGAGTAGATTTGCTGGATTTGGTATTGGACTTGCAAGGTAATGTTTTATCTAAGGATTTTCAATTTAAGTTTTTATAAAAAATTTTAAGTGTAATAATGGTAAATGATTACTATTTATATATACTATTGCTTCCTTTAGAGTGATTCTTTGGAGCAGTAGATTAAATATTCAAAAATATTTTGCAGAAAAAAATGATTTAAAATTTATGAGTTGCCTTTTTTCTAGTAAGGATAGAGCCTAGTCATTGAATTTTATAATCATAAACTAATTTTGTTGGGAAAATTGTAACACCTTTCATGTGTCTTCCAAAGAATAAATCAAATCTAATCTAATCTCCCACTCCAAAAAAAGAAGTAATTTTGCAATGAAACTTCTCCCTAAACATTTGACTTATAACAAGATATTTACTAACAGAGTTTAGGTTTTGCTTACAATCAGCATTTAATGAGCACTATTATTATTTTTTTATTTTTAATGATTATTTAGTGTAAGAAAAGCCTCTAGTTTTGATTATGTGACCTTTAGTGAATACTGTTTCAAAAATATTAAAATTGCACAAAGGCTTACATATCATGACAGAATAACTCATTGTTTTAAACATTTTAATGGAGAACATATGACCTTACTTGCAAAATTAAACTTGAGAATATTAATGTCAGTAGAAACAAAACTTGTTTGTTAAGGTTTCCTTCTGCTATAGCTAATTTTTCTTTTGCCTCGCTGTACTTAAAGCTGTTGTTCATTTGGTATATTATTTTTATATGTGTGTGCACGCGCCCATGCAGGCATGTGTCACTGTCAGTGCTTAAGCCCACAGTTGTTATTAGTTTGTGAGAAATGTTTTCAGAAGAAATATTTTATATGTAAAATAGTAACCAGTTAACATGGTCATTAAAATCCTCATAGCTTAAGCGCAAAGTACATCAAAACCAAAATTTATAGAATGAGGTTTGTGAAAAAGAGATGGTTCTTGTGATAGAAACTTTGCTCACGAGACATCGTCTGAAAGAAATAGAAAGGGGCATTTAAATTGTCGAAGAAAGGAGTTTCTCATATCAGGCATACAGAAATATAGTTTCATTTTATACAGTACATATTAGTATTATATAGTGTTTTCCTTACCAGTTTGCAGATCTGGCTTTAGTTTTCATATTGAATTTTGTTACTGATATAATTAATGATTTGCGAACATGTCTAGACATTTTTTAATTTTTTTTTTTACTTTTAAGAATGGGAAACTGCATGATTCCTCAAGCAAAAATAATTTTGGATACATATATGTTATAAATTAAATGTTGGCTCTATTATGTATATTTATAAATTATTTTTATGTAGTCTCTTTACAGAAAATGTATTGGCCCATCCTTGCATTGTTCTCCGCCGCCAATGTCAGGTAAATGTACTTTCTATTACCTTCTAAACAATAGTACTAACCCAAATTTGAAGTACAGAACTCAGATAAATAGTTGAGACCACATAAGCATTATTCCATGTGAAATGTACCAAAATCTATAATATGTCAGTTCTCAAACTTGTTGGTCTTTGAAACCTTTTAAGTCTTAAAAATTATCGAAGTCTCCAAAGGACTTTTGTTTGTATGGGTTATACCTATCATCATTTACCATTTCAGAAATCAGAACTGGGAACATTTAAATATGTATTTCTTTAATTTATTTTTAAAAAATTAGATATTAACATAAATAACATTTTTATGAAAACAGTATTATTTTTCAAGCCTCTTTGTCTAGCACAACTAGATTTTCATACCTGCTTCTGCAATCAATCCGTCACAATACATTGTTTTTGAAAGAAACTAGCCTTATACATACATGTGTTTGAAAATGGGAGTATTTTTATCTTTTTCAGATAATTGGCAGATATTCTTTGATACTACACAAAACTGAATAGGTGGTAATTTCTTACAGGTTATTTACATTGTGGAATCTGAAAAATCAATTAACTTTTTATACTCTGTTACATTGAAATCTATTGATTTATACTGCAAGTTGAATAGATTCTGTTACATCATGCATTGATTAATTGAAAAACGTCGATTTACTAAGTCATATAGGTCTTCTAAATGTTATAACATTTGATTATACAGTATCAAAAAGCCATTAAATCATTAAATTCACTACCAATCTCACCAGAAAAGTGTTCTAGTATTGGTAAGCTCTTGAAGGTAGATACAGGTTTTTCAGAATTCTAATTTTTGCCTGTGTACTCAAATTTATCACTGGCAGCAAATGCTATCATTATGTTTTTTTAAAATAATCTCACTTTATTTATTTTTAAAAGTATATCTGTCCCAAGTGTAAGTAACTACAGTTTGTCAGGTTTTCCAGGAAAAAAAATGGGTGTTCCATGAAAAAAGTGGCTAGTTCATCTTGCAGCTTCTTTAGACAAGTGCTTTTCCTCACAACAGCCATCTTCCTTCATTATGCAACACACAAAATATTAATTAGAAAAATGATGTATACCCCAGAGTCAAGATTTTATAAAATTGATATATTTAACTGCTTCACCAAGGACAATGTTTAGCGAAAGTGGCTTTTTCCTCCTTACAAGTGAATGGGATGAAGAGTATAATAAGTACAAAAACGTAGTTTGGTGCCACTGCTTTGATTCATGCTAAAGAGTTAACGGTTTTACACACCACTGCTTTTGCTCTGTTATTGAAATTGTCAACACAAGGAAAAAGGCACATCATGCCTTAGTATCAAAAAAATAATTTTGAACGTGTCAATTCCCTCAAAGGCCCTCCAGGGTCAGTGGACCACACTGTGGCAAAAGCTCTTATAATTTATCTTCTTTGAAAATTGAGTTAGAAAAGATATAAATAATTACAAATTAAGCTGTTTATGCCTAGCACCAAAAAATAAATGTATATAGAGAAAGAGCCAGTTAAAAAGCATGAACAGTTGTATATGCCCAGAACAGTGAATTTCTGGCATATATTTTACAAATTGTGACTATTACATTGTGATCTGGTATATACATATATATGAGTAACTTAAAAAAAAGTCTTATAAAATAATACCTTTGGAATGTGTGATGCATTCTGATACTTTTAAAAAATAATTTCACTTAAGTATTAGTTCTGACCCTCTTTACTGATTTTGTAATTTGCCAATTGTTTATATCTTATAGTTTGAAAAATGCTAGCCATTAAATAAAATGAACATTTTGCCACACTGAATGTAATTCTAGAGTTAAAAGAAACATAAATTTCAACTAGCAAGGCCTTTATTATATATTCTATATTGCTATGTATATTGTGGATTGGATTGGTCTTCAGGGTTGTATTTATGTAACCATATGTACTGCACTCAATAAGTTATTTAAAGCACTTTCAAGAGTAATTTTGCTTATGTATATAATTTATACTGACTTTAGAATTGAACTTTTATTTATGCTGTGACTCCACTGTATATCTTTCATGCCCTTGTTATTTCTTATTGAAACAACAACAAAATAATCATGAAGTATCTTTTTTACAGGTTAATTACCATGCTAGGCATTATCATCTCACTCCATTTACAGTCATCAATATTATGTACAGCTTTAACAAAACTCAGGTGAGAATTAATTTATAGATTTTAGTAAAGTTATTTATAATGTAAGGGCCATTTGGCCTTAGTAATAATTAAAGCAACAATCATTCCTTATAGTGTAGTTAATAAAAATATCTTAACTCTTGTACTAAACCTAATGTAACATGATAATGACATCTTTTTGATGTCACTGAGTAATAAGTGAATTTACACCTTTGCCAAAATTAATTATATATTAAGGGCATTTAATTAGTATTAGAGGTATTTAATTAATTGAAATGCTTATTTGACCTAGACATAGGCCACCTGACAAACATTAAAATAATGACAGAAGTTAATTTAGTTGTAGTTATCTATTAAAATGTCTTTTTAAATAATACCTTATTGGAAAATATCAATAAACATTCAATATCAAATTCTGTCGAGACCTTTTTTGTATGTTTTAGCCATTAACATAACAATAAATTTTGTTCATTTTAGGGACCGAGGGCCCTTTGGAAAGGAATGGGAAGTACATTTATTGTCCAGGGAGTCACACTTGGAGCAGAGGGACTAATCAGTGAATTTACTCCATTACCAAGGTACCGTTTTGGCATTTTCTCAATCTATTAGCTTCATATTAAAAATATGACAAAATATGATCACTTCTAATAAATACCTTGAATTTTGAAAACTTGCCTGAAGTACCTAAGAGAAGAAACAATAAAGTTAATTAATTAGATCTTACTGAATTAGTATGTGATAAAAAAAAAATCCTTTCTGGTGTAGTATCTATTGAGATGTGTCATTCAGCTCCTACTACTATGTTCAGCAACTATCAACTAAGGAAAAAAAATGGGTATATGAGCAATTCATGCTCTTTAAGTAGCCAGTTTGGTGAAGGAAACACATGTAAGCAAATTATAGTACATTGTGATGAGTGCTGTAATTAATCTTTTTCAGAGCCCAGCAGACACTTTGCATGGAGTTATTGGCAAGGATTTCAAAAACGAACTGAAATCTGAGCTAGATCTTGAATTATGAGTAGGAATTGACTTGGAAGAGAAGAAGATTCTGAGTAGAGGTGATAGCACGCCCAGTTTTATGGAGTTTGGAAGGTTTCGTTTATTGTCTTATGCATTGGGATTAGTGGACATGTATGGAGTAGAGTAACAGGAAAAGAGGCTGAGGTGCTAGAATGAAGCATGGCTGTGCTTTTATAAGGAACTTAGGCTTTATTCTCTGTGGAATTGGAAATCTAAGGGGTTTTTTTTTATTTTTATTTTTAAATGTTTGGGTGCTTTGATCAAGGATATAGTCAAGTGGCAGCGTTAAAAAAAAATGGACTGGTGTAGACAGAGACTTGTGGAGAACTGTTATAGTGATCTAGGCCAGACTGAGAAGAGTCTGAACTATAGAATAGAACAGAAAGAGATGAGCTAAGAGACACATGTTAAGTGTAATTGATAATTGGTGATAAATTATGAATCGGGCTGTGGGAGAGTGAATTGTTAGCAGTCACTGGGATTTCTAGATTGGAATCAAGTTGAAGAATTTATGAAGGAGAATAAGTTGAAATGGAAAAAAAAAATAAGGAATTTAAACTTCATTAGATGATTTTGAGATTCCTACAAGACATCCTGAGGGAACATGTCTTATAAGTGGTTGGAACCATGGATCAGAGTCTTAGAGAAAATTTGAAGCTGGAGGCATAGCTCTGAATGTTGTGGCATAAAAGTAGCAGTTGAAGTATTAGGATGGATAAATTTCCTTAGGAGAAATACAAACTAAATGACAGAGAGTGGACAAAGGACAGAATCCTGGGCAATTTATGAGTGTGCAGGTGTGTACCATGCATGTGTGTGTATATGTGTGTGTGGTAGGAAAGGTTTGAGGGAGCAGTAAGTGATGCTCACAAAACAAATTGAAAATAGCTATAAATTGAAAGTAAGCAATATGACAATAATGTCCTAGACTCCGAGAGGAGAACTAGAATTGTTAGGCATGTTTGGAGAGAGAGGGTGGAGAAACTTGGGAAATTTGCAGCTGAGTCTGTTTTCCTCTGAAATAGGATACAAGGCCATTAAGTGAAAATAGAATGAGCATTAGAGTCGAAGTAGAAAAGCATGCGAAAAACGATATATGCTTGGGACAGTCACAATTCTGTATAACTGAAAGGGAACCATTCTAGAAATATATGGAAGGAATGGTAATAGATAATATTGGAAGGCATACATTTGTTTAAGTGCTACCTGGTAGGACTCTCCCAGGGACAGTGTTAAAAACTTTGTATGGTTTCTTAATCCACAGTTGGCCCCTGACAAGGTGAATTTTTTGGATCAACAAGAAAATGAGGTAGTTGCAGTGACAGCCACTGTGGTTGTTCAGGCCTCATATTAGTATTCTAGCATTAATCAAATGTGATCTGGAAGGCTCTCTAAGGTGTTATAAATCAGAGATGATGGTTCTATTGTACAAAAATTTCTCTGCAGACCTTTCAGTCTCAGAAAAATGTAGAGAAGTTCACATACCACCCATGCTATACTTGTACTGAGTTTGTTTTTAGAGCACTTGGTTTATTAATGATTACTTTCCTTTCTTTTCAATATAACATATATTTATTCCTTTATCTCCTTATGTTTGTCATATTCACTTACTTGAGAGAAAATGTTTTCTCAGGTTCTTGCTGTGGCCATGGTGCAATGGGTGCCAGATTCATCACGGGAACTGATGGCAGCGAGTCTCCTCTTTATTTCACACTCCCCTTTTCTGCTTCTCTGCCTCTCTCCGTCCCATCTCCCGCTTCCCTTCTATCCCCTCTAGCTGCCTTTTCATTTTTTTCTGCCTCCTTATTTACTTTCCCCTTCACTCTCCATAGTCTTTTTCTCCTTTTTGACTTTTCTGTTGCTATAACTTCCCCTTTGTTGTTCTTTCAACTCGCCTCTCTTCTTTTACTTTCTTTTCTGGTTTCCAGAGTTAACCTAAATAGCAGGAAGCACACAGTCCTGGACCTTGGCTCCAGATATGGTGTTTTGCTTACCTCTTTTGAACATGTCCCTGTGATCTTTTTAACCTTTATTTTCTCATAAGTAAAACAAATGTGACAATCCCTGCTCCACGTATCTCATAGGATTCATTCTCGTATCACATGAGATGAGAGGCAGTACAGGCAGAGTGCAGACTTCAAGTCATAGAGATCGGGGTTTAGAACCCTGTTCTACTATTAACTAGCTGTATGGCTTTGGGTAAGTTATATATGAACCTTCTTTGAGCCAATTTCGTCATGTGTGAAATGGGGGTAACAGAGCCATTGTGAGGATCATAAATAATTCAGTAAAGCACTTTGCACAGTTCCTGGCATGCAGTAGGTGCTCAAAAAATAGAATATAATAAAGGGCACAAAATTAATGTCATCATAGTAAGTAGAGGCACTTTGGAAATTAGATGTTACATAAATGTAATACGTCGTTCTGCATTAGTTAGTTAATTTTGTTTTGTTTTTTTTGATTCTCACTCTTACATACTTTTTAAAGATTTTTTCCTCCTTTTATCCTCTTCCTTGTTTCCCTTTCCCTTCCTCAATCATTCTTTTTTTTGTTTTTATATTCAGTTATAACTCTTCCTTCTCTGTCATCCCCTTCTATCAGCACATACAAAAATACCTTGTATGTTTTTTCTCTTTTCAAACCACTACAGTTGTTTGAAGTGTGTCTGAGAAAGAAAAATGTGCACCATTAGAATATATTTCTCCTATAGATTATTTTTAAAATTAAAACTTGATTACCTTTTTGAAAATGGGCCAATTCTAGATGTTTTAAATAACATGGCTTTTATTTTACTTCAGTTTATCTTATTTTTTAGGGAGGTTTCACATAAATGGAATCCTAAACAAATAGGAGAACACCTTCTACTGAAATCGTAAGTATCAGAGTGCATTTATATTGAAATTTTCTATAAATTTTCATAGTGTTAGAACTGAAAAAAATCTTATTTAATAACTATACTGAAGGAAATTAGAGCAATGAATTATTTGTGGGACTAAAACTTCAAAAGACAAGTAACATAGAGTTGAGGAATAAAAACCTGAAATATGTGTTATCTTTAAAACAAATCTAAGTTGAAAGGCTGAAATCACAACCTAATTTTTCTTTGTGTTCTTAGAAAGTTAGCAGAGATCTTCAACTTTTTTAACCCGAATTACCAGGAAAATTGTTATTATTTATTATTAAGCAGAGTTACAAATTATTTTTATGGTAATGAGCAAACTCAAAACTTTAGTGTCATTAAAATGTAGTCCTGAAGGCACTTAGTGATTTTACAACACTGACCATTTTTGTAGATTAGAATTTTACTCTTCACTTTTTAATTTTTTTTGAAGATTGTGAATTGGAAACCCCCCCAGCTTGCTGGCTCCCTCTGTGGGGCATTCCAGCACATTATTACTTAGTGATGTTCCATTCACCTTGAAAACCACTACTTGCCAGGACCTGGCCCATAGGGTTAGGTAAGTCCCACCTTGATATTATTTTAAATAACTATATTTTGCAGGCTTGCAAAGTTGTAATATTACTAAGTCTAAATAGTAGTGGTAGGAAACAACTTTGCAAAGCTGTACAATATTGTTTAATAATAGACGGGGACTTCACTCACCACTGAAGACTGGCTTAGCTTTCCTGGGTGGGAAATCCGGGAATGGATAATGATGATATAGGGTAATAGCAGAACAGTGTACTTGTTCAGATGTCACTAAAAAGGCCAAGCACTAGAATAGATCCCTCATCCTAAATTTTAAGTATCAGATTTGTAGGCTAGATTAGCTATGTGTAGGTAGATGTCCAAACAATGAATCATAAATGAGCCTACATTTTATACTGGTTTAAAATAAAATCTCTTTTTTTTGCAGGCTGTCCCTGTGTTATTAATATTTAAGTTTTTATCTCTAATTGTTGAATAACAAAGATTCTATGTTACAGGTCTCTGAAGTGTCTTTATAGGTATTCATAGTTGAAAACCTTAAAAATATTTAGGCTTGAATATAAGTTATATCGACATATTAAAATAGATATTTAAAAATTTAGTGTAAACATCTTATTTCAGTATGCTGATGTTTGTTTTAATTTCTACAGTCTAACTTATATGGTGGCAATGCCTTTTTATTCAGCAAGCCTAATTGAAACAGTACAGGTGAGCTATTTTTTATTGTCCTTGTTATTTTTTGGAATATTCAATATAGTGTGTATTTCTGATTGTGTAACAGAACAATTTAAACAATGTCCTTTTAAATTTTTTATTTCACAGATGCCACAGATATATTCTGGGTTATATATAAGGGACATTGCTGATGAGTTTATTGCCTTAGCAAACTTACTTCACACTTTTTAGTTTGAAATCTTTTTATCTCTTCCATAGGCAGCTATATTCTTCATTCAGGTATCTCAGAATTCAGCCTCTGACTTGCTCTGTCTGAATACAAAGAATTTGTAGAGTTTTTCAACTTTTTAAGACCTGAATGCACAACTCAAATGGTTATGGCATATCATAGGACAATAAATTACTAATTACCTGAACATAAAACACGATGTCTAATAATTCTAACAGTGAGCAGGTAGTCTCCAGAGGTAGTTTACAAACAGCATCCTTTTTAAACATGCCTGTTATGGACCATTTCATGCTATGGTGTGTTAAGTACTACAAAGCTAAAGCAGTCTCCTTGCTTGTGTCTTAAATTGTTTTACTATTTCTAACCACGTGGTGGTGCTTCAGGTACATCAAATTAATGTACTTTCTCAACATCCCATTTCTACATTTAAAACTATAAGATGAAGATAGTTTTAACTTCACCTATGCACAAATTCTAACTAATTATATACCACCCATCTTCCATCTTCAACATCAGATCCTCTAGTATATTTTTTGTCTTTAGTACGTATTAGTTCCCTCTTTAAAAACCTCACTGGATCAGCCTTTTCTCTTCTAACTACTCTTTTTTCTACTTAATTGCTTTTCTGGCCCTATCATTGATTTTTTTTTTTTTTTAGAATTAACTTCAGTTAACCGAAGTTAACATCTTGCTACCCAAATATACTTTGCTTTCCCCTTGCATTTGGCATTGTGTTAAATAAATGCAATAATCTTCACATGGGGCTGCAGTTTAGTTATCACTAAAATATATCCTCATTTTATAAATAAGGAAAAAATAGCAGGAAGATAATTATTTAAGAAAAAGCAACTAGGCAGCATGCTATATTGGGGGAAACAAGTTTTAGGTTCAGACAGATCCTTATCAGAATCACATTTCTCCACTTAAATTAGATCTGTGACTTGAAACAAATGCCTTAACCTTTCTAAATCTTAACGTTTTCATCCATAAAATGGGAATAGTATTTGAATAACGGAGTTATAAAAATTAAATGAGTTATCTATGTAAAATGTCCAGCTCACTATGTATTAGTTTGGTTTTTTTTTTTAACCCAATATCTACTCCCTATTTTTCCTGCTCCAGGTTTTACCTGCTAACTGCCTCCTTTTAATTTCTTTTGTCTGATTTTCTAGAAATCTTTTTTTCCTTCTTAGATTTCTCCTCTCTTGCACATCTTTCTCTTCTTTTAGTAAGCTCTTTACCTTCTCTTCTACTGTACTCCAAGGCTCAATCCTTGACTCTCTCTGCTCTTTATCCTATATTCACTATCCTAGAGAACTCATTTACTCTCTCGAATCATTTTAACTCTAATCTCTTTAAGTGAATTAAATTGTCTTCACCTCAGACTGAACTCATGAAAACAATCTTGTCTTATTCCCTTGAAATTAGCTGGGCTTTTTTAGATTTTATATTATTATTTATTTACATTTGTTTTGTATCTCACTGCCACTTGTCCCTTCCATAACAACCTTCTGATAACATCTTCTGACAGAGTTGATGGCCTCTGCAAACAGCCAAATTGGTAGAATCTGAAGCCACGTTATTTATTAATGACTTAATTCTCAAAAAGGCAGCATAATTTCTAAAGAGGATTTTGTGGGGGATGTCATAAATTGAATGCTAAATCAGAAACTGTTTTATTCACATAAACGTTGACCCATTTTTATATTTTTATGCATTCCTCGAATTGAGAATTAGGAAAAGAAAAATAAGTTATGTACACATTTCTTTTTGAGCCTCTTCTTTTCTGTAATGGTACTATTATTATCTTCACCCTAAAGACTCAAGACTTTAGTTCTGGTTTTTAGGAAAGTCTTGATTTTTATATTTCTTTTATCCTTCATAACCAACCAATCATCATGCCTTCTTAGTTCTAACTTTAATAAGTATCTGAGGTTTGTCTCTTACTCTCCACTGATAGGCAACCATTCTCATCCCTTCTTTACCACTCACTCAGCTTATTATGTTACCTTCTTTCTTCCCACTTTATGTTCAGTGGTTTTTTGCCCTTCTGGGGAGCTCAGATCTCTTTGAGAATATTCTTTCCCTTGAAAAATACCCATTCATACATAGATCTCTTGAAGAACACCTCCTAGAGCCCTTAAATATAAACTTCCTAATGCGTTATTATCTTTGTTAACAATGCTTGTTTTAGTCCCTGCATTTTAAAGTCCATTCTAGGTACTCATATAAGATTAATGTTCTTCAGTTGTAATGCTTACATCCTTTTGCTCACTAAGGCTCCTTCCATATTGACTCATATTCCCTAAAATCAATTTCGGACTTCTTGGCATAGTATTAAATCAAGGTTTTTATTGACTTCATTTTACCTTTTCAGTTAGTCTTCCTTAACTGCTCTTTTTTTAAAATTCATTAAATATTTATTTAATGTCGATCTCAATCAGGTGCTGTTGTAGACCCTGAGGATACAGCAGCAAATAAAACAAAAATAATCTGCTTTCACAGCACTTATGTTTTTGTGGGGAAGATAGGCATAACAAACAAGTATATGAGATGGTGCTAAGTGCTAAAGAGAATAAAAATAAAATAAGGAAATTAAATAAGATGTGTAATGGGCGAGGAGAAACAGTTGCTATTTTTAAGGTCAAGAAAGGCTTCACTGAGAAGGTGACATTTGAATAAGGGTCTGAGCATAAGAACTACATGGATATTTGTGAGAAGAACATTCTAAATAGAGGCAAAGCAAATGCAAAGACCCTGAGGTGGTGGGATTGTATCTCATGTGTTTGAGGAACCAACCAAAAAGAGGCCAGTATAGTTTAAGCTCACTAAAAATGGGGGAAACAGGAGGAAATGAGGTCTGAGAGGTAAGAGGGGGAGAAATCATAAGGGCATTGTCCACCATCGTAATAATTTGGCCTGTTCTTTGAGGAATATGGAAAGTCTTTGGTGACTTTGAGCAGAAGAGTAATGGGATCTGGCATGTCTTTATTTGGTTGCTATGATGAAAATAGACTGGAGTGGAAGAGGGGCCAGAGATAGGGAAATGGACTAGGTTAGGTGAGTTCATTTTAGTCTCATGGTTTTAAATATATTCTGTTTACTGAAAACTCTCATAATATGTCCTGCTGGGACCTTTTCCTTGCAGTCTAGATTGTAAACTCCAAGTTTATACCTTAGACTTACTATATCTGAGCTCTGGGTTTCTCTCCCACGTTGCTACCCCAAAGCTAAAACTCATTTCCCTCCCATATATCATGCTTCTTAGTTGCTTTTTCATTTAATACCCCAGCTCAGTAAAAGGCTCTAGTATGCCTCCACTGCCTCTGGCCAACATCTTTGAGGTGATCCTTGACTTTTCTCTTTCATACCCCAAATCTAATCTACCAGTAATTCTCATTGACTATAATTTTAGGATAAAAGCACAATTGAAGCACTTTACTTCTATTTCTACCCAGTAGTCCAGTCTATTACCACCTCTTTTCTGGATTATGTAATAACTTTTTAACTTGTTTCTCAGCCTGTGTTTTTGTCTTCCTCTGCACAACAGCCATTGTTAATATAAATTATATCTTGTCCATCTTCCGCTTAAAACTAACCAGTTATTTTCCATCTGATTAGAATGCAAAGTCTACTCAGTCTCATGGTATGGCTACTGACTACGTTTTTAACTTTGTTTTACACATTCTGTTGTTCAGTCATGCTACAGCCAAATTGGCCTGTTAGCGTTCCCTTTTTTACCTATTGCTCAGTAATCTATATCACAAACTTTGTTATAGTAGCCTCAAAATTGTAAAAAGGCAGAGACATTGTGGATGATAATGACTAACATTAAGTGCCTCTGGGCATCATGCCTTCTTTCATTTAATACTCCCAGCAGTTCTGTGCATAAATGGTAAGTGATACTAATCTCATTTTTATAGAATGATAAACTGAGTCTTAGGAGATGTTAAATGGAGGCAGGGTGTAAACCCATGCTTAAGAACTCTAAGCACTGTGCTACCTCTTTAGGTTGTCATATAGTTATTGCTTTGCAAAATGAGTTCTCAGGAGCTTCTTGAGGGAAATCAGGTACGCCCGCCCACCCTCATCTTCTCCCTTATTTCCCTTTTCAATAAAAATAGCTCTAAGCCTCACTGCTTTCTGTTTTATGAAATTTCATTTGAAAAAAAAAAAAAGAATCAAACACCTAGATAGCATTTGAAGTCTGCAAACCATTGATGGTTCCCTCCGTTAGTAAGGACTTAAAAGAGACCTAAAAAGAGCCCGTTTTTGTGACAGAATAAGAAAATGTTAACTTTTACTCGTTTCGACATTTTTATTTCAGAGTGAGATAATTCGAGATAACACCGGAATTTTGGAATGTATTAAAGAAGGCATTGGAAGAGTGATAGGCATGGGAGTGCCTCATAGCAAACGACTACTTCCGCTCTTTTCCTTGATCTTCCCTACGGTGCTGCATGGGGTTCTTCATTACATCATCAGCTCAATAATTCAGAAGTTCATCCTACTAATTCTAAAGAGAAAGACTTATAATAGCCATGTAGCTGAGAGCACTAGCCCAGTGCAGAGTATGTTGGATGCTTATTTTCCAGAACTTATTGCTAACTTTGCTGCCAGTCTTTGCTCTGATGTTATACTTTACCCCTTGGAAACAGTTTTGCACCGCCTTCACATTCAAGGAACACGCACAATAATTGACAATACAGACCTTGGCTATGAAGTGCTTCCAATTAATACACAGTATGAGGGAATGAGAGACTGTATCAATACCATAAAGCAAGAGGAAGGAATGCTTGGTTTTTATAAAGGGTTTGGTGCTGTTATAATACAGTACACACTACATGCAGCTGTTTTACAGATTACCAAAATTATTTACTCTACACTTCTTCAAAATAGTGTTTGAAATTTGGGTTCCTGATTAGTCTAAAAGATATAATCTGGATACTTCGTTATGAAATTTTGAGGGATAAAGGTGAATAGTGGGATAAAAAATGGATTAGAATGTGAAACTGGTAGAAAAAGCCCATGCTGGTTATATAGACTCTTTTTTTTAAAGGCATAGGTATATTGGATCAAAAGTATTCCATATTTGAAAACTGAATAAAAATAATGCTCATATACATTAAATTCTAGATAGTGTAGCATGCTGAACTAAAAATGATCTTGGGCTGAAGCAAAAATTTGTCAGGAAACAAAACAGTTTCACAGAGCTGAATTTATTCCATCTGACTTTAATATATATTACATATTTATTTCACCTTCTTGATTGATATTGATATGTCACCCTTAATATAGTATACAGTATCAAGAGGTCATAGTTTACCTTTAAGCAGATAAATTATGTCATCAGTGGTAAAGACAAGAAGGATTAGATTTGGCAATCTGTAAGCAGGAGTTGAAGAATTTTAAATTGCATTGTCCCTGTGTAACTGCTTGATGGCGGCATGTTGTATAAAGCCATTTATGTACATCTCTACAAATTTTCCATTCTTAGATCAGTTTATTGCCTAAAATGAAGTCATGCACTTTCTGCTTTACTATCAGAATAAAACATTAAAAGCCAAGGTACCCAAAAGGTTTAAGGCAAACAACATACTTGTCTATTTCCAAATCCAGCATTTCAATGCCAGCATCTTAAAATTCGCCATGTTTATAAAGCTTGATTTGCTTACCTAGTCTGTGAATCATCAGGCTGTTTTTAGCGCCACTCTTAACAAAGATAGAATATAAAATAATCATGACAACTATTACTGTTTCCAAATTTACAAATCGTGTGCTAAAAGGAACGTCACTTTCATTTCTGAATGACTTGTCTTGGTGGAGACAAAATTAAAATTTTCCTGGGAATTTGTGTCTCTTGCCTTCTGTATAGTCATGATTAAATAATGGCTTTTGTTTTTATTTTCTTCTAGCCTTTGCTTATAGTTTATTCTCCAAACTAGATATACATAAAGAGAAAAGCAGATTTATCCTCACCGCCTTTTAAACTTGTTTGGTTGAATACTGAAGAAAAAATACAAACTTTAAGGGAAGTTAGTTCTTGCTTTTTATGGATGAGGAAAAGAAGTAAATTTCAACAAATAATCAAAAAAATTGTTGCTCAGTTTAATAAAAAAATTCTGTCTGTTCCTAAATGGGTGAAACTCTTTGTATAGTAAAATAATATGCATTTGACTGATCCATCCTTAAATGTTTTAGTTTCATTTCCTCATGTGAGCCATCACAGTTTTACTGTGAACCATTTAGCACACTGAAGTGCAATGACTATACACTGATGTTGTCCAACCTAGAATTTATACAAACATTTATTTTACTTTCTAAATGTCAATGAAATGGTTACTTTTTGTGATTAATAGTGTTGGAACCAAAATATGATATCCAAAAAGTGTAAAATAGTACTTAAGTAGCAACTCTCTACTATCTCGTGCGTGTGTTTTTAATTAATAAAACACATAAGTTTTCCATTTTTAAATTCTACCGAGGGGAAAAATAAAATTATACGTGCTGGTAACATATTGTATTTTATGGTTACTCTTTTAGATTATGGTTTACTTTGTCTAGCCTATGGCATTTAAATTGTTTTTGTTGCTTTTGAACTGCTAACTACATTTTTAGATGTTTATAATATGTCCAACTTTCTGAAAACCTTTCATTTTTTATTATAATCAAAGAAGATGGTTTCAGAGAAGGGTAAACTTCTGAAAATTTCAAGTTTCAGAAAATTTCTAGAAGAGAATCTTAATGGAACCAAGTAATTACTAGTGAAAAATCTATGAGGTCCTTTATCTAGCTAACAATTAAGTATTTCAAGATTATTTGATGGAAGTTAGCATGAAGATTCAGTTATATAAATCTGCTTATTATGGAATCATTACAAGACTAATAGCCTGAACCACACACAAGTAAGGTTGGTCCTATTTTCTGTCTCTTTGGAGAAAGAATACAAATTAACATTAAAACTAAAATTGAAATGTGGCAAGTAAAATATTAATTTTTTTGTTGTCATTCCAAATTAGTTGAAATATAAAATTCTTTAAAATTCAAGCACTTAAATGCTGGCCAAATATCTTTAACTGAATTTAGAAAGGAATAAGTGAAATAAATAAAAAAAATAAATTGCTCTTTAGCATGTAGGTGCCAGAAGCAAATATACATGGGCTACATTTCTTAAGGTGATAATAGCTCAGAATAACATTTTTAAAAATTTAGAACGATTAATAGTATTACAAATAAGGTTCTATTAAAATATTCCACAGGTCCAATGGTCCTTTTACATAAGCCGGATTTTGCCCATGGAGCTGAAGTGCGATATGTTTGTCTTATTACATTGCAGGGTTTCTTAATTTGAGTCAAACAGTCCAAAAGGACTGAATTAAAAACTGAAACACCTAGTTAATATTAATCTATTATGTTAAGTGAATTTATGAATTGATTTGCTAAATCTGTTTATAAATCTCCCTTGAGACACCTTTTTATGGTCCCATGAAAAATAATCCCTAAATTTATAAAATTTGGTCACGTCTCCAAACTCCCAGCACTAGATGATATAAATATAAAATAATGAAAACAAGCGAATTTCAAAATGGCTATGGATTGGGGAATTCGATAACTTAGCCAGTGTTTTCAGAAACAAAACAGGGGTAAGAAGTCTTGCTCACTTTGACAGTCATGCCTGACTGCTTCATAGTTGTCTTTTTGCACTTGCTTTGTTGTAACTGCACAAAACTCACTTTACTGGTTGGGCACAAGTGCTTCAGTATTTCTATCTGTGTATCCATACATTTGCTCTGTATAAAAAAACACTGATATTTGTTTTTAAGTGAGATTTTGCCCTCAGTTTGCTTACTCCCATGTCTTAACATAAAAGGCTACTCTGCCAACGCTTGAAGATAGCCAGGTTTGAACTAATTACTATCAATAATATATAAGCAAATAAAATCCCTTTGTTAACAATTCACAATGCATGTGGATTTGAGTGATTCTTAATTTTGGCATTTCTGCTTTCTCTTTCAAATAGTTGTACATTTCACTTTCTAATACAAACTGAATATGTAATATCTTTTGAGTCATTGAGTATCACTGATGTGGTACCAAGCTGTACATAGCAGAGTAACAAAAATTTGTGATTCGACAATGACTCATACAGTATTACCTCATCTAGAAGAGGTGTTTTTTGTCTTTACATGTGTGTGTTTTTTTTAAGTTGTTTTTGTCTCACTGGTGTTTTAAATGTTTTCAGTAACTTGTATAATATGAAAACATTCAATAAAATGTTGAAGTAAAACTAGTTTTTTTTTCTCTTACTGATGCTGGAGGACTGACTATACAGGCTGATGATGTAGGGGTTCAGAATATGTCACCCCAAAATATGCCATATTGGCATATTGATTACTTTAATTAAAGGTACTTACAGTTCATGAAGGACATTGACCTTCCTCTGTCCTCATGAAAGTGGGTGACGAAGCTCCCATGTGAAAATTATATTCCCTGTACCAGGAGAGTAGAAGGTATCTTTATCACCAGAGACAGGAAATTTAGGGTTGGGAGGGCTGTATAAATAAACCTCGTTAATTTTTCACCATCTACTACCCCAAGCCCAAACTCTGCCTTGTCAATTCTTCACAAATGTATTGTTTCTTTGTCTAAAAAATAATAAAAGCTTCCTGCTATGGTTACTTCTTTGAGTCTCAATGTTTTATAGAACAAACTCTGCCTTGTCAATTCTTCACAAATTTATTGTTTCTTTGTCTAAAAAATAATAAAAGCTTCCTGGTATGGTTACTTCTTTGAGTCTCAATGTTTTATAGAGCTTCTTTATGTACAAAATTAAATTTGTTTTTATCCTATTAATTTGTCCTAATGTCAATCAAGTTATTAGACCAGCCAAAAAACATAAGGGAAGAAAGAAACATTTTTCTACACCTATAGAAATAAAAGTGATGTTTTTGTAGGTAGGAATGAATATCAAGAAAGATACATATGTGAAAAACTTTTTGCCCACCATTTTAAAAATTCTATCTTAGTGATATTTTTGTGAATTTGATTTCAAAGGCAAGGAAAACAAAAAACAAAAATAAATGGAAATACATCAAATTAAAAAGCTGCACAGCAAAGAAAACCATCAAAACGAAAAGGCAACCAACAGAATGGGAAAAGGTTTGCAAATGATATTTCTGATAAGAAGTTAATATCCAAAAAATATAAAGAAATTATACATCTCAACAACAAAAAACACCCTGATTAAAAAATGGGCAGGGAATCTGAATAGACATTTTTCTAAAGACGACATACAGATAGCCAAACCACATGAAAAGATGTTCAACATCACTAATTATTAGGGAAATGCAAATAAAAACCACAAAGAAATCATCTCACACCTTTTAGAATGTGAGATAATTTATCTATTATCAAATAGATAAATAACAAGTATCAGAGAGGATGTGGAGAAAAGAAACCCTAGTACACTTGGTGGGATTGTAAATTGGCACAACCACTACGGGAAACAGTATGGAGATCCATCAAAGTTAAGAAAGTTAAAAATAGAACTACCTTATGACCCGGCAATTCCCCTTCTGAGTATCCGAAGAGTATGAAAACACTAACAAAAAGATACATGCACTCCTGTGTTCATTACAGCACTGTTCACAATAGCCAAGATATGGAAATAACCTGTGTCCAACGACAGATAAATGGATAAAGATGTGATATATATAATAGAACACTACTCAGACATAAAAAATAAAATATTGCCATTTGAGACAACATGGATGGATTTTGAGGGTATTATGCTAAGTGAAATAAGTCAGAAAAGGACAAAAATAGATTTCACTCACATGTAGACTATAAAATAAAAATAAATTAATAAAACAAACTCATAGATAACAATGACAGTTATCAGAAGGGAAAGGGGTGGGGTAGGGTGAAGTGGATAAAGGTGGTCAAATAGATGGCGAATAGATGGAAACTAGACTGTTGGTGGTGAGCATGCATAGTATATACAGATATCAAATTATGTTGTATACCTGAAACATGTTATTAATGTTACCTCAATCATAAAAATAAATAAATAAATACATTTCTGATATAATTGTGATGTGGCTCACAAAACAAGTAACATATTTCCTAAAATAAGGTTTCTTATGCATCATCGTCTGTAAAAGTGTTACACATTTCCATGTTTGATTTTTACAACAGTCCTCAGGTATTTTCTGAGTAGTGCTGTTTAGGGAGGAAATAGATACAGATGGTGAGCATTGCTTGAAAATATTGTAAGATGATCAGAAAAACCTGAAACAACCTAGGGCTAAGGGTTGAGACATGCAAGAGACTGCCTAAAGACAGGGAAGCAAAGCCAAGGAGAGGGTTTCTTTGAGAAATTAGGGCTTCAAAAATGATCGTGTATACTGTGGAATTTAGAAAGCTATGCACATACCCGGGACAGGACACGTGTGCTCAGAAAAGAACTGAGAAGACCCTAAACACACTATTAGATGACCTATAAACTCAGTGCAAACCGGAAGTGAAGGGTTAGGGAAGGTTGTAAACAGCCTAAGAGTTAAACGGTTGCCTCAACGCAGCCCACCCACAAAGTTAAGCAACTAACCAAAGAAAAAGCCAGAAATCAAGCCTTGGTCCTGTAATCTAGTTCAGTGTCTCACCACAATGGGCCCTCTCAAAGTCAGGAACGGATGGTACTGGAGCCCAAGACAGGCTGCTCTAAAATATCCCACAATGGCGTATTGATTACTTTGAATTAAAGTTACTTAACCAGCAGCCAGTGCCAGAAGGGCACCTTGACCCTCCCTCGTCTCCTCGAATGCGGGAAATAAATCTCCCTGGTGAAAGATGTCCGCCCTGCAGCCGGGAGACACTCGTATTGCTAGAGTCAAACAACTCAGAGACAAAAAGTCTGTGTATTCAAATCTCATTGCCTCCTTCCTAATTTACTACATTTTAAAATTCCTCATTAACAAAAGCCCAGACCTTGTTTAGATTCCTTTGTAATGAACGCTATCTTCTTTTGTTCAGTCAATTTCTCACAAATTTATTCTTTGTCTGATAGAATAAAAAGATGCTTAGTTTGATCATTGCTTTGAGCCTCATTTTATGATTGAGCATCATATTATGATTCTTCCATGCACATATATTGAATTGATTTTTCTCCTTTTAATCTAGTCTTGTGTTAATTTTATTGTTTTATTATTAGTCCAGGCATAAGAACTAAAGAAAAGTAGAAGAGGGAAATTCACCCTTTCCCCAACAATGGTCTAATAATATCTGCTCTTTAGGAAAAGAACAAAGGCTAACTTAGTAGAATGCCCACATCCTTAAGAACTTAAATGCGTTATCTCATATATTCTGTACAGCAACCTTTTGAAGTAGGTACTGATACTATCCTCACTTTACAAATGAAGGAA